AACATTCATAATTTTCGAAGCTCTATGTTCATAATTGTAAGTTCATAATTCCATAACTATACATTCATAATTCTATAACTGTACATTCATAATGTCATAACTGTATATTCATAATTTCATAACGAATATGCCGTTAACGGCGTTTCGAACAAATTTTTTTTTTTAGTTAAAACAGCGTCGTTTTCACGGAAAACGACGCCGTTTTAGCGCCGTGCGCACCTTGCAAGGTGCGCACGTATGCATAGCATAATTTGCCTCAACTATAGATAACCTATTCTGATTTCTCATTCTTCCAAAAGGCTGAACCCCAACCCCTATTCTGGTTTCTCATACTCATACGGGCTACGGCCGGCCCGTATCCCTAATCACAGTTCTAAGTTCAAAGTCTAGCGCTCCAAAAAAATTGGCCCTGCTTTTTTAGGACTATTGCATCTGTTGTCTCCCACTTGTTACCTTTACTTTGGATGGCTTTCCCTCCACGCAACGTTGATTGGCTGATTGCCGCCGCCCGCTATTCTGGATTTTTGTTTTCGCCGTTCCATTTTGTCCTATTTTCAATTTCTATTTCATAAGTGATAACATACATTTTTCCAAAAAAAAAGAAGAAAGAAAAAGAAGTGATAACATACAGTATGTACATTCCATATTTTATGTTATCTGTTTTCACCATTAAAAACATTCTGCGACTTTCGAGATGTTAGGAATGTTCTTGGACTCCCGAAGGAACAAGTTAGGGCATTTGAATAGTAGTGATTTTTTTTGCGATTTTAAAGTGTCAATTGAGAAAAAGAGAGGAGAGCAAGGAAAAAAAATGAGAAAAACAAAAGGACTGATAACAATTTTTTATTTTTAGAAAAAAGAAAAAGTTTAAAATACGTGTCATTAAGCGTGTGTAGCACGCGCCTACTGGGCGCGATTCTTGCGTTCCACAGCTTCAACTGCATTTGTTTTTTCTTTTCTCTCTGCTGGCGGGCCCCACAAAAAAAATTACAGGAAAAAAATTGACAAAAAATCACTATCCGCATTTGTTAAAAACTAATCCTCTATTTTTTTTACTGTTCCAAAAATCATAAAAGCCCCGAAGATACTCTTATATCATGTATTATGAATGCATACTACACGTCTAAATAAATGTGTATTACACTATAAATGAACATATAATATACTTACTATATTTGAGGTGCATCTTGTTACACGGACCCTCGTTCACAATATAAGCATTGCTTACACAGGGGTTTGGTCCGAATATTGAAATGAGAATATAAATTTGAATCAAATGCCTAACAATTAAAATTGATTTTTTGACCGGATGATTATCAATTATCAATGACATTTTACAATATATAGTGATTGGACTTAGAATATAATAAACATTTGATATATATGTTAAGAGAAGTTGGTTCAAATTTCACTCGTGACAGAGTAATTGAGCATGAAACCGCTCATGTTGACTCAGGCCAAGTCATCTTGAAAAACTCAAATAACTTAATTCATTTCTAAAAATATGAATTGCCTAACTCGATTATCTTTGAAAACTTGAATTAATATGCATGTCTAGAAATGTTGTTACACCAAAAGGTTCGAAGTTGGTTACAAATTAAATAGCATGTGCATCAAACAGTTTTGTCCATTGTACTAGGTATAAATAACTTATGAAATGTAATAAAAGAATTGAACTCATCACTTACACTTAACACACATCATATCAATTCTTACTATAATAAGTTGATATATAAAAATTATATTTATCTCGTGCTATAGTTTAATTTGTTAGTCTTATCTATTAAGTTTTTATTTAATTATAAGAAAGAATGATACCCGCATATACAATCTATTATAGATTCCATTAAAACTCGAATTTATCACCTCCTACATAGGGGAGCAACTTAGTACCATTGGACCACATGATCCTTGCAATAATCTAATCTAGTTCTTAATGGGGTATGGCTAAAAACACGCAAAAATAGTAAATTGCCATTGAAAATATCTTGCAAAATACTTTTTAACATTTATTTTTGCATATTGGACAATGAATCAAGAATGGTATTACCCACATGTCATTTCATCATAGGTGAATCCTTAAGCTAATCATATCCTATTCTTTCATTATCATGATGTACAATCAATAATTGTAATCAAATTCGGTGCCTAACCACCAATATAAATTTAGATTTTTATTTTATATATTTTTTTTTAACCATTTGAGATTTTTGACATAATTTATTCTATAACCTTAGTCCCTCAATGTTAGTTTCAACTACAAATTTAATTTGCTCCTCACATATTTTATATGAAATATATAATCTTATTTTATTCAACTTTATAAATAAATTTAATTTTCATGAGTATAGACTGGGTTGCTTTATTGAGTTTGATAGCAGTATTTGGTTTAAAGAGTTCAGAAATAAATAAATAATGAGAATTTTAATGAAAATATTAATATTGTGACAATTACTATCAGGTACGACACTCATTGTATATATGGCTTTAGAAATTTTATAAATAATTATTAAATATATAATTATATATATCAAAAAAAAACATTTATAACTTTAACATATACGGAGTAATTTTTTCCAACTATATAAAGCAACCCCAGTCATTCAAGATTTTTTACAAGTTTTTGGTTAAGTTCTTTGCCATGTGAATTTTGTAAATGAAAAATTAAAAAAAAAAAAATCATATTATCATAATATATTCAGCAAGTTAAGTACGTACATAAAGAGCACACATTAACTGGACACATAAGTTTTATTTGCACGTATTTTTATTTTATTTTATGATAAAAACTTAATATTCAGAAAAATTCAACCCCCCCCCCCCCCCCATCTGTTTCAAATCATTTAAAATTTTCTAAAATTTCGTCCAAAAACCTCCCTTAAAATTGTGAACAGGAGTTTAATTGTCTTCACTGAAGCCAAGGAGGCAAAGATAAAGTTATGGTTAATTATCATTTAAATTTGTAGGTCTTAGTAGGGCTACTATCTTTATCTAATGTGGGGGGCATGTCCCAAACAAAAGAATAAGACAGGTGGTAGGGACCAGTGGTTGGTTTGATGATTAAAAAAAAAAAAAAAGAGTAATGCAATCAAGATTATCCTTTTTTTTTTTTTTTTTTTTAATCCATCTTTCTCAATTTGATCAACTGAACCTCATGAACTCATATGATATGATCCATCCAAGACTTATGAACGAGTTAATTTTGTTTTTGTTTTTGTTTTTGTTTTTGCAAACATGAACGAAGTTAAATTTTAAGTTGTTCAAAAGATTCTAAATTTTCTCACCGACTATACACTTATGCACATAAAAAATCTTCACCGTACCACCACTAATTAGTCAAAGTCCTTCAATATCTAATGACTTCAAAAAACTTACACTCCATGATCTCATACTGTATTAGTTATGTTTAGTATTTTTAACTCATTCGACTGTAACATCATCCATAAATAGTGAATTTCATATTTTTTTTTTCTCAAAGATGGACAAATATAATGGCTTTAGATCAGAAGGTGTATGGAAGGGAATTAAAGTAAAGTCACAAGAAAAATTGTGATGTATTGGTTCATGTGAAGCTATGGCCTATGGATGAAGGAGGAGAGAAGGGTGGGGGCATAATGCAAGATTGATATTTTGTACATAGAATTGTGGTCTAAATGTGTGAATTGGGCGGGATGGGGAATAAATGGATATATATGCAGTAAGAATTAGGTTCACGGGAAGTGGATGAGAATATATATATGTACAACTCATTGTTACATCAATTCGAGAGGACATTATCCATATCTCAAACCCACCATCTCACCAACTTCTGCTATCACATATATATAAACTTGGTTGGGATATGATAAGGACATCAATTCATTTATCACTTCGCTTCCTAAATTATAACCAAAGTTATATTTATATGTACTCTTACTTTGCTCTTTTTTTTTTTTTTTTTTTTTTTTTTTTTATATTAATTCATCATTGAGTTTTAGAATTAACTTATGTATTTATGTGTTAATCTTTAATTCATTTTTTCTTTTCATTTCAACTCATCAATATAATGCAGATTACATGATAGACGTTTATTTATCTTCTTGAATCCTGATATGTATATATGTTGGGAATATTCCAATCTCACATCGGAATTATGGGTCGTTGCCTACTTTACGCAAATCCTAATAAGCACTTATAATTCACAATGTATTTTTATTCGGCGTTACGTTGCTCTTTCTTTCTTTCTAAAAGGAAAATCATACTCAAGTTAGTCATTATATAGCTCGCTTTTTATTTTATTTTATTTTATTGAAGTGATATAATTGTATTAATGATAAAAAAAAAAAGTTAAATACAAAAAGGCGAACTACTTTATACATTACAAAAAGTTAAGGCCATTGTACAAGTTTTCAAAAAAAAAAAAGGCCATTGTACAAGTTTTTAGTGCAATTTACCTCTTTTGTTTGGTTTGTGAGAATCACATATGACCGATATTTACTTAATGCACACTTAAATAGTGACTACAAAATTCTTTTGCCACCAAAAAAAAAAAAAAAAAAAAAGTGAAACGCTTAAGAATGTCGCATTAAAGAGTAATATGCTCGTCAAATCTAATTGATTAGTACCCCAGCCAAATTGATCACACACTAACCATCATGGTTAAGTGGGTTAACTACGACAACGTAACTTTCAAGTAGCAATTACAACATTTTCCAAGATAAATGAAGTGAAGACCCACATAAAGATTATGCCATCAGCTCGGGATATGCAAGAGAAATCCAGGAGAACAAATCCAAAAGGTAGTAACATCATCTCTAAGACATAATCCCACAAAATCCTCCAAACATTATATGCAGAATTGCCTATGGACCTTAGGGGCTTAGGACACATTCATAGAATCTCGTATATACTATAATATCTACAAATGTAGCTAAATGGGCCAAGCCCCATTTTAAATGGGCTGTTTTTCACTTCTCCATTTGTATATTCAAAACTGATATTCTTCTTCATTTACTCTGTGTTTAAATACCCCTATCATCATTCAAATTAACAAGAACACCCTGCTATACTTGTATCACAGAAACAGAAATCAATCACCAACAATTTTCTGGAGAGTCAGCTAAGAAACTACCATGCGAGAGAGAGGAAGCTATTGATTCAAATTGCCCAATCGGAGCCAAACGCCGCCATGAATACTATAATTTCAAGAGAATTCTGTCCCAAATTATGCTCACCACGAAATTTTTCCTTCCATTTCCCCTCAATTTCCCAGAAAATCCCAAATTATCCCACCCCCTTTCCGAGAAAATGTTCCAGGATTCCGAAGATACTCACTTTCTGCGCCGTAGCAAGCTCTGAATCGCTGAGTTATGGCGGTTGGGACGCTCCTGAACTCACTAGAGACTCAGTTAGTTCCGGTGAGTCCAACCATCTTCACAGTCTTCTGAACTCTCTTGGAATTAATGATAGAAAATATGTGATTGTGTATGTGTTGGGGTTTGTTTGTGCTTTGGCCATTTCTAGAGTCAAGGTTTCCTCATTTATTGCATTTCCAGCTTGTATGATAGTATTTGTTCTTGGGTTCACAATTGGGCTTGTGAATGGAGGTCAGATGAGCTTGATTGGGACCAAGAAGATACCCAAAGATGAGATTTTTAGGGTTCCTGTTGGGAAATTGAGGTGTTTGGTGGACTTGATAAATGAATTTGAAGCTAAGATTTTGAACTTGAAGAATGATGCTAAGAAAGGGATTGAATGTAATCACATCACAGTGGATGACCTAGAAAGTTTTATCAACAATTTAGAGCTTGTTAATTCATCTGCTGTTAATGCTAAAAGTATCCTTGAGGGTTGTATAGACAGTATACTAGTTGAAAGTCAGGAAATGGAAAGAAGTACAAACCAAAAGTCGAGTAGGCGTAAGAAAGATCCAGGCGAGAATCAGTTTAGTGTCTCTCAGTTTTTCGCTGGGCTGTTTCAAGAAAAGTCAGATTCGAAGTCTAATAAGCGGAAAGATTCCACAGAGAATGAGTTAATGGATGGGAATGTTACCAACTTGAAGCAAGGCAATATATTGGGCTCTTCTGCTAAAGATAGAAATGTAAATTATATTTTGAATCAGAAAGTTGGGAATCGTGATCAGAGCTCAAAAGGCACTTTATTCGACCATGCTGATAAGAATGCAAGTTCGCCAGAGATGGATTATACTGTTCAATCAATTTTTGGCAGTCAACAATATAGTTATTCGACTAACCATACGCATTATATGAAGAATGAAAGAATCTCTCTTAAAAATGGTAATCCTAATGAAGTTGGGACTTGGATATCTGATGAGTGCTTACACAAATCTCTGGATTTTGGTGTCAGCACAGAGAGTATTAAAACAGTGAATTCTTTTCTGCAAGAGCAAGAAGTGAACGAATTAGAAGGAAAATATAGCCCTTTTGATGGCACAAAGAGGAATGAAGATTGTAGGTCTTATATCAAAACCGAGATGATGGCTCCTGAAGATGAACCCTCCCTGGCCAGTAATGACCGCTCACATGATAGAGATGTTGGTTCCTCTACATTTTCTGCAGGTTCTGATGATATGAAGTTCAGTAAGTACCTTTCTGAAGCCAATATTTTACTGAAAGAAGCCAAGGATTGTTTAAGGCGGCAAGGTAATGATAAGATCGCAGATGATGCATTCCACAAGTCTGCCATTCTATTTTCAAAAGCCACGGACATCAGACCCATGAGTTTATTGGCTGTGGGCCAGTTGGGTAACACGTACCTCCTTCATGGAGAGCTAAAACTAAGGATCAGTCGTGAATTGAGAATAGTACTCACTAGAACAAACCCTGTCTCGGTGGATATATGGGAGGGAATAGAAAATGCACAAAATGATAAAGTTGGAAGGAAAGAGAAACTTGCATCTTTTCTCGTTAATGTCTGTGAAGAGTGTGAAGAACTACTTATTAAGGCAGGGAGACAGTATAGGTTAGCTCTTTCAATTGATGGGAATGATATGAGAGCATTGTATAACTGGGGTCTGGCTCTCTCTTTCCGTGCACAGTTGATTGCAGACATAGGACCGGTAAGCACTGGTCCCGACAAAACTAGCTCGTTTAGTTTTAAATCCTTGCTTCTTAAAATTGTTTCTCACATGGTTGTAACTCACACGTTTTCACATTTCAGGATGCTGCCCGTGATGCTGACAAGGTGTTCTTGGCTGCAATAGATAAATTTGATGCGATGATGTCCAAAAGCAATAATTATGCACCTGATGGTAGGTTAAAACTGCTCTTTAGCATTCTGGAACCTAGTTTATATGGGATTTATTGAACAGCTGTTAGTCCATGTTCACCCTTGTTTTAAGTGACTTTTAGAGCAATAATCTCGTATTTTTCTGGAATTAGATTTACATGTTTCAATGATTTGAAAGTTGCTCATGTCTGTATATGTGTTACTATTATTCTTGCCAGAGTACAGGAAACAAGAAGTCTGGAAAAATGAGAAGAATTCTGCTGTTTGACCTAATTTTAACAAATATGAATTTTGACAATTTTTTTTGGTTGCAGCTCTCTTCAGATGGGGTGCGGCTTTACAACAAAGATCTCGGCTACGGCCCAGAAACAGTAGAGAGAAGGTGAGGCTATTACAGCAAGCTAGAAGGCTATTTGAAGATGCACTTGATATGGACTCAGACAATCTACAAGTTCAGAAGGCCTTATCATCCTGCATATCTGAGCTCAACTGGTACAACTAGTCATATAAGATTTTTCTAACCCCGGGGGACATAATCCACACAGTCACAGTCTTTCTTTTCTGGTCATAAGCAATTCTTGATAGATATGCTTATACTGGCAATATATTGACAATAACACAGAATAAACAAGGCTATTTTGAATATTCTTCTTAACCCATCTTCTTTCTTGTCTTTAACAAGGATAAATTAAGCTGGTCTATTTTGGATGGTAATGGTTTCTTTCTGGTTATTATGGAGTTATCAGTTCTATTCTCTGTCAATTTCATGAACAGATCATATTTTGTTGTAGTTTGTACACTTTTGTGAAAGAGATATTTAGCAGCAAAGATGCAAAAATCAATTTGGCTTCCAAACAAAAAGTTAAAAGCAGCCAAAATTGACCCAAGTGGCTACAAATTCTGCAACTTGCAGCAGGAAAAAAATGGCTTACAGTTGCAGAAGAATAAAGTTGTATCATCTTTAGGGTTGTTTAGCCCATTCTCACAACTAATTATATTAAAATGATAAACGTTACTTAACAACTTGACCTCTGATGGTGATTTTCATCTCAAACATGCAACTTTAACTAATAGCCAAGAGAAAAGAAATAGAGCAGTTCAAAAGATGGCAATAACTTTCCACACAAACAATAAAAAAGTATAATTTATATTTATTACTCAGAAGATTTTTTTCAAGAATTGATAAAAGTACAATTTGGCATATAACAATATAAGTATATACCATAAGCTGATTCTGACTGTCTGTTATTGTTTGAATGCATTCTCTCTACCTGGCTTTGGCCGCGAGTTGGCAATGCTCCTGAAAACCCTCAGGATTTCTTTGTATGTCACATTTCCAACCAGAGTTTGGTCTTCTTCAATGACCCAAATGCAGCTTGCGCGATGCGCCAGCGCTTGAATCATAACGGCAACCAATGAACTCCATGGATGGCAAGTAATTGCCTCGGATCTCCTCATACAGTATTGTCCCGACCCACTGCTTTTGCTCAAGGTGGACTCGTCGCCTGAAGAACAACTGGAAGGTGATGATGAAATTGAAGACACAGAATACTCATCCTCCATTAGTTCCAAAAGTGTGCCAAGATTTTTCTCATCAAGCCTCTGCTTCACCAACTCCATCAAGTCCTCGGTGGGACCACAGCAGTCGATGTAAGCCATGAGTTCACCTGCCGAGAGAGTCATGATAGCTGCAGCAACTGTTTCATCACAGTGGGCAAGAGTGAAGGGCGAGATTTCGCCTATCAATCTGTTATCATCATCAATAACAGCAATTGAGGTCTGCTCAACATGAGCACGAGAAATGGAGCTCAAGGCTGCGGCTGCATGGTCATGGTAACGAATGGTCATGATATCGTGATCAATGATGTTGAGTGATTCAATTGTAAAGGTTGGCAGCGGGGAAAAGACACCAATGGAATTCAGAAGGAAGCGAACCACGTCTTCCTGTGTCAACCAACAGTATTCAACCCCGTGATGGTTCGATGAACTCAGAGATAGGGGTTTATTCAAAATGTTTCTCCTCGAATTTCTGCGCATGTAGCTCTGTATTGGTACAACAAGGTTTTGAGTGCCTTCAAGAATCCAATCCATTGCCTCCAGCAAGCTGAACAATTAAGATGGAGCAAACAAAATACCATGTCAACATAAACATATTCAGCAGAAGTAAAATTCCAGAGGAGAAACATCAAATGCAGAAAATTAAGAAAGTTTAATCGGCATAAAGGAGAGGTCTCTAACTCTCTATACGAAATTACGAATTATAGAATTAAAAAACGACAAATCAATCAATAAAATGTACTAATAATAACTAATAAGCGGTCACAACATTAAATTGACGAAAAAATTTGAAGAAAGGGAAAACAAGGCTACCTGGAATTGCGATCCAAATGCGTGACGATGGAGATCCCTTTGGGCAAAAGCTCCGAGACCGGAGATTCCATAGCCTTGGAAATGTTTCCCAAATTCTCCTCCTTGCACAGAAAGCAAATCACATCCACCATACAGATCTTACCGATACAGCGGCAATTGTCACCTTCCAGAACCTTCCTAGAATGGTCGGAACATCTCCACACGCTCACGTGGCTCTCGCCGGACCTCTTCAACGCCGCTACCGCCTCCGCTATGCTCGCCGTCTCCTTCACCGGCCTCAGCGCGGGTTTCCCCAAACACAGGTCTGATACCTCGCGATTCAAAAAACTAACTGCCATACAAGAACAGAATGCTCCGAAGAGATAAAATGAGAGAGAGAGATGGAGAATTTTCTCGAAGATTATACCGTCAAAATTGCCGGAAGAAACGACTCAGTCTAGGAGGAAATGGAAAATTCACGGGGTATTTATAGGAGAGATGGCTGACAGGCTGACATCATGTATGAGTTGGGGCGGGTCCACATCATCCGACAATGTCTCGCGGGTTAGATTTTTTGTTTTATTTTTTTCATTTTTTTTTTGTTTAATCCCTCCGAAGTTAAAATTAATTGATTACATTTTATTTTTTATTTTTTAAATCAAAACAATATACGAGTAATTTGGTTAACAGTAAATGGAAATTTTTTTAGTTAATTGAACAAGAAAATTCATTCTATGAGTATTACAAGCCATTTGGTTTGAGGAAATTATAATTTTACTCTTACATAATTTCAAAGGTAAAGAAATTCATTTATTTAGTTAGATTGAATTATAATTTTTTCATTTTCACAAAAATAAAATCTCATTGGCCTCCTATTGATATTTTTAATTTCACGGTTTTTGGGAAGTAGAAATTATCATTCATTTTTTAACCTAATTAAAATTGATATTTTATTTGTAATAAGCTATAATAAGTATGAACATTTTACTATTTTAGTCTTTATATTACTTATATTATTCTCTTTGAATTTCTATGAATATCAAACATTAGAACTAAAATTCCAATAATTCTATTCATACAAACCAAACAATAAAGGAAAAAAAGTTAAATTGTCCCCCTAAGTCATTCGGATAGTGCAATTAGGTCCTCCTAAGTTTTTTTTTTTAAAGCGTCATTCAGATCCCCTAAACTTGTAAAATTATTCAATTGAGTCCAAATCAACTTGTATAGCAGATTAATTTTTTCCAAACTTGACACGTGTCACTTTTAAAAGAAATTTTTTTTATTTTTATTCTTTAAATTATTTATTTATTTATTTTATTATTTTTTTAAAAAAATAATCAACCATCGGCTGTCCGGCAAGGACAGGCGATGGCGGCCCCCTTCATGGATAATCGTGGTTGTTCGGCGAGGACAGCCACAACTGTTAAACATAAGGTCCAGATCTGGACCTCAAATAGGCTGGAACGAAAGCGGTGGTCATGGCTGCCGCCCTCGTTCCAAACGGTCGGGGTCGTCTCTAGACAACCATTGCCGTCTAAGAAAAATTCAAAATTTTCTTTAGACTGCCATGGCTGTCTAGGGACAACCTCGGACAGCCGTGGTCGTCCAAGGCCATTTGGAACGAGGGCAATGACCATGGCCACCGCCCTCGTTCAAGACAGTTTGAGGTCCAAATCTGGACCTCATGTTTGATAGTCATGGGTGTTCTCATCGCATAGTCACGACTGTCCGCGACGGAGGCAGCTGCGAGGACAGCCGGTGGTTGGAACTCTTATTTTTTTTAATAATTTAATAAATAAATAAAAAGTTTTTTAAAGAATAAGAACACAAAAAAAAAAAAAATGTGACACGTGTCAAGTTTGAGAAGAATTAACCTACTCTACATATTGATTTAATTTGGACGCAATTAAACAATTTTACAGGTTTAATGTATTTGAATGAACCTTAAAAAAAATAATAATAATAATAAAATCACTATCCAAATAACTCAGGGAGCCATTTTGACCATTTTTTTGAACAATAAAATTTAAATTTTCACTATTTTTTCTCATAGAATTGTAATTTTCTTATTCATAATTACTTCACTACAACCAAACACCACGTTAAAGTGTATATAATTTTTCTGCCAAAAAGTTGAATTTCTAACCCCAATCGACAGAGCATTTGGGATGATGTAAATCACATTTTGAGCATAATTTCTACATTGTTGTCAGCTCAAATTTTGATCTCTTCTTCGATCTAACATACTGTTTGTTGAACCATTAAGCTAAGCTCCTGTAAGTAAAGTGTATAGAATTCAAGTTCAAGTAATAAAGTTCGAGATTTCGTGCAGGGTACTCATATCACCGTATGGCCTTCTGCAACTAATTCAAGCACGAAAATGTCGTGTGGATACTTTTAGGAATAAAAAGAGAATATATCATATCACATTTTTATTATCTTTATTTTTTTATGTCTCTAATTACTCGTTTTCCAATCATCTTGACTGTTGACTGACCTATAGCCACACACAGTACGTACAACTTTGACTGATTCATACGGTTACAACTTACAACTATCAATGTTGGTTGTAATCGTGTATATAACAATATAACATTACTTCCTTCGAATATTTTATATCATTTGATATACATGTTCGCCCATGTGATCATATTTTGGTCAAGCTGTTGTCAACAAGTTGAGGGAATTGCAGCAAAAGAATAAAGGATGTTATATACACAGTTACAACTAATATTAAAGGAATATTGATATATAAGAAAGTTAAAGGGTCAAGTAGAAAATTAGTTAGAGACAAACCAGATGAATTGAATAGAAAGACTCACCGACAGACTCGGTGAAAGCGCTTCTGGAGGGCAAAGTTGGCTTGCCATGCAACCGTAACATTAACATTGGGTATCGGAGCTGAAAGCACCAAGTTTGGCCCCCTTCTTGATAATAAAAAAAAAAAAAAAAAAGTTATCCTTCATTTTACTAAGTCATTTTTTTTGTTTATTATATATATATATGGAGTAATATATAATATAAATTATTACAGAATCATGATGTGGGGGCAAATAATTTTTTTAAAAAAATGATTAGGGAAACTCATCCACTATTCAATAATGTGTATTAAGTGAATCATGTTTTTATGTAATGGTACGCAAACCATACATGATAGATAAATTGTATTATATATGAAACTTATGTGTGACATACTCGTGATAAAATACAATAATCATGTTTTACTCAATCGGTCACCCCTTTGAACCACGAATAATATTTGATTATGTGAAGGGGAGATATTCTTTAATCATTGGGGATGTTCTAGTAAGAAGGAAAATATCATTTGGACTCCTAAACTTTACTTCCTCACTCAAAAATCTGGTGTTGACATTTTTTTTTAAACTCACATAATGAAAATAAGTTATAATTTTTTTTTCTTAAATTTAGGTAATTCCAGTTTCGCCGAACTAATTCTATAAGCCCATAGAACCCTGCCACTAGAGCTTTTGTGGAGGAAAATTGTGAATCGGGTAATCAACTCACCGGTTAGATCATAGTCTTCATGTGCGCTAAATGGATCCAATCGAAACCTTCCAACATCTTTTGGTTGGGCCTTTTTTCCATACATGTTTTTAGTGGGATTCGAACCGCACACTGCCACTTCCAATCATGACCTTTAAGTCCGACGATGAACCAACTACACTAAGCCTCGAAAGCAATTTATCATTTTTTTACCGTAACAAGTAGTAAAAGTGAGAAAATAGAGATTAAGAATCCATGTAAGTAGAACTCTAATAACAATGATGCATGGTTTAATATTGCCACTCGAAGTTGACCGCAAAGGACCAACCTTGGTTTCAACTGGCAATTTATCCAGTTTGATATTCTTTTAAGAGTTTTACTATGCAAACTCTCAAATTCTACTCTTTGAAATGACAAACAATGATTGATTATTTTTACCATATAGATCCACAGAAAAACGTCTACATAAAAAAAAAAAATATGTGACAAAAAATACTAAATTAAGAGTACATTAAGTATTTTCCTTATTTTAATCAAACCCAACAATGAATGGCTGACAAGGCATCGATGACAACGCATGCCATGTGGTCCTCCGAAATTGTTATTTATTCTCGAAAGGGCGCACTAACATTTAGGCCAAAACCTCAATGCGTCGAAGAAAGGTCGGATTAAACTGCTAATCATTCGCTGGATGCTATATTCCTAATTAATTAATCACGAAATTAATATAATATGGATATAATGCTGCCGAGAGTTCAATTTTAAACTGTGTGCAAAGTGGCAAAGACAAATCTGTCAGTGTCACACACAACAACTTTGCCTTTTAAAAAAGTGTTGCAATTTTATTATTTTAAGGCAACTCCAATTAAAAATGCAATTTTATTATTTTATTTATTAATTTTCTTAATTTGAGTCACAGTCAATATACCTTTTTATAGTCATTCCCCTAAGATTACAATGCAGATTTTATCTTTTTATTGTAGGTTTTCGGTCACTAAAAAAATGTTGGAAATTTTAGTTTTATAAGGCATAAATTATGGTCTTTATGGATGAGGTGACGTTGTGCAGATAATCATGCCACGGTGCACTTTTGCTTTTTGTACTCGTGGCACCGTGTGACAGCCGCGTCTAAATACTCATATTTTATTTAAGTTTGTCGCTTTATTGTACATTTGTATTGTGAGGATATATACACATGAGATTAAGTGCGAAGTAGATCTCACGTAAAAAATGAGATGAAATTTTAATTGTTGATTTAGTTAAAATTAACAGTTTAAATGATGAAAAATGCGACGACATTATGGTAATTTAGTGTATAAATTAGAATTTAAGGTGAATAACTTAGAACTTAAAGTGCATAAATTCAAAATTTAAGGTCCATTAGTTTAAAATTTAAGGTGCATCGGTTTAAAATTTAATGTGCATTACTTCGAAACTTAAGGTGCATAACTTTAAAACTTTAAATGCATGATTTTATCCAATAAAATATGTACACCAGAATCTATACTCATTGAAAATACGTCTAGCATTGTCCTTTCCAAAATGTAATGGTAATACAAGTTTAAATTTGCAACAGGAGAGGAAGATAAGGAAGAAAACCGACAATGGTCGGAGGAGATCATTCGTAACCAATTTACCATGAAGCGTTTTTTTTTTTTTTTTTTTTTTTTAAATTAACTTCATTCTGTACAATTGATATAAATTAAATCAACGACTGAGATCTCACCTCATTTTTTATCTAAAAAGTTCCTTGTAAACCATCCCATATATATATAGTTATCTACATGGCATTTTGTTGAAGAAAAATTGTATCAACCATGTATTTTTTTCATTTATTTTTACAATATTATACATAATGATGTCATGTATATAGTTAAATTATATTTTTTGTTTTAACAATAATATAAACTATTAGAGTTAATTCCATCAAAGGTCTCTTGTCTTTGGTGGCAATTCCAATTTTAATCCCAGACTATCGTTTTTGTCATTTAACATTCCAGACTATTGTTTTTTGGACACTTTTAGTCCTTTCGAAAAAAAATTCTGTAAGATCCTATTTTTAGTAAAGGCATTTTAGTCCCTTCATATTTTATTTTTAATTTTACCGGTTTTCATCGATTTTTTTTAGAACAAAGGGTTAATTCATTGATTCAGAAAGAAGACATGCAGAAAAAGGTGGAGGAGCATCATTAATTCATTGCCCGATGGAATTCTAAAGATTAGAAGAACCGGTTTGTTTACGACAAATCAATAAAATCGGTAAAATTAAAAACAAAATATGAAGGGACTAAAATGCCCTTACTAAAAATAGGGACTTGCTAATTTTTTTTTCTAAAGGATTAAAAGTGTCCAAAACAATAGTATGATATGTTAAATGGCAAAAACAATAATCTGAGACTAAAATTGAAATCACCACCAAAGACAATGGACCTTTAATGGAATTAACTCTAAATTATTACATAGAATACAAACATATATAAAATCCTTTATATAATAAAGCCATATGGTTTGGAAAATATTTAATGTTACAATTAATGCAACAACATCTTTTATTATAAAAAAAAAAAAAAAAAAAAAAAAAACACAACATTTAAAAAATAAAATAGCTATATATTATATAATCATATAAAAAATATACTTTTGAAAAATAAAATAGCTATATATTATATAATCATATAAAAAATGTGTTCAATTAGAGTTTAAATTTACACCTACAAAATTTGAAATTAGCTTTCCAAATGTAATTATCTTAGTTATTATTCGTATTGTGAAAATTATAATATGGATGAAGTACAATTAAGAATAAATCAATGTAATTATGTAAATTCTCTCTATAAATTTATTTGAATATGCACATAATTAGAGATTATATTAACCATACAAAATTATAATTTTAATTTTAATTGTAATTTTGTATTCTATAAAAATAATAAATACTTGACCAATGGAAGCTCAAAAATATTATTATATTAAATAATTTAAAATATTTTAATTTTTCTATTATTTATTTATATTTATAATAACATAATTTTTTCTGTGTATCGCGCGGGTGAATTACTAGTCATTATATAATAATCAGTAAGCAATGGTTGAGTGGGTGATGTTGATTTCTCGATCTTTGAGTGATCGATGGCTGGTCAACACTACCAATTTGACACCTAATAATGTAAAGAGAAATAATAGTATATGCCCCGCACAGGCTTAGCTTAATGGTTCAGTGGGTAATATTTGGGAGAAGAGACCAATGTTCAAATCTCGACGGCGACAGTGTGAAATTATGTACAAAGTGGACAGATTCCTTGTTTACACCGACATTTGGCCCTGTTCGTTGAATCATTGAGTCACTGTGATTTATATCTTTTATTGTCTTTGAAATCAAAATACGCAAGCGCTCGACCAAATAAGGAAAACCGGCTAATAACTCCTGACTACATATTGATTTCCTACCAAAATTAGTACAATTAAGTGTTTACTTTAGAAAAATGAATAAGATATATAAGGAAAGCGAACCCCCTAGAATCTTGGCCATAAATGCACCATTAATGCATAACAACCACTTGAATACCTCCCCATCACTTCCTCATCTCCACACTCAATGAGTCACACTACAAGATGTGTTTTAATATTTTTGTTAAGTACTACTACTCTGTTATAATGCAGTATTTATTCATAATAAATACTTTATCAATTTATTGAAACAATGATGATTACTTTTATTTTGTGAGTTTAAAAAAGTATGTCAACATTAAAAATTTAATTGATCCGTATAGACTAAGACATTTTTAGGATTGAGATTTAGGTTTAAATCATAAATCAAGATTTTAGGATCTGAGAAATTGAGATATTTGTGGGTACCAAACCAAACCTTCTCCGTACGCTTTATTCACAAGACGACATAAACTAGTACCTGCGAAGGGTGAGGCTGTAGCCGTCACGCCTGCCACGTCTCATCTAGTTGTCCACACATTCACATCTTCCCTGTTTTTATATATTCTTGCTTATTTGGTAGACTAAAACTTGATAACATGGTTTATTTAAACATTATATAAAACTTTATAAAATATAATATATTTATTTTAAACAATAATTACAAAATTAGTCTATTTATCCCTAGCAGAGTAACAGACTGTTAGGCATTGGTCGGTTCAACGAAGAGACCTAATAATTTTGTCCATTTTTCATCAAATGATCATTTTGGAATCAAGCTTTCCACAAATTGAGAATTGTGAGAATATTTGTACTGAAAAACAATGGGCCAAGGCTGAAGCCCGTGACCCATTACATGGTTGAAGCCCATTGTTATTGCCTGAATAATGAATATTCTCTGTGGAAACAGCAAAAATCCATCCGACATTCCGACAGCAACGGAATCGCAGATGCCTGTTGATTGCATCTCAAAATTAGTCGTACATAAATCAGCTGCTTAGAGCAACCCAAATGGGAGGGAAATTTTAGGATGTTTTTTCTCCTGCAAATTATAATTTTTTGTAGGCTCAGAAGAGAGAAAGGAAGGTAAAGTTACTGCATTACTCTCGCGTTTGGTGCAAATCTCGCGCCCAGTCGCATGCATTCTGGGCTTGTTAATCTTTACCTTTTTTTTTATTTTTTATTTTTTATTTATTTATTTTTTAACTCTTCTCTCTTCTTTCTCTTTCCTAGTTGTACTTACAAAAATCACACCAAATTTACTACTATTGAGGTTGCTCTTAAAATAGTTAAGGCTGGCCCATTATGAAGTGACGTGGATAAATAAGGTGAATTTTTTAAAATACTTGTTTACTTAGGTGTATTGTAAGTTTGCAAATACAGAAAAGGTCGTTGCATAGAAGTAGGGCCACTTTTGAAATTGAGAAAGTGTTGAGAATGTAAAGAAAATAGTGGAAGAATTGTAAATTTGATGATGTGGATATAGGACTCACTTTTAAAAATGATAGAGAGCATTTCAGTGATAGATAAGGATAGCCAACGAAACTAAATTCAAAGTCAAAACGTGACATGAATGAATTCGAATTATTCTCAATGAAAATACCATATGGCATGAATATATATATATATATATATATATATATATATATATATATATATGTGTGTGTGTGTGTGTGTGTGTGTGTGTGTGTGTGTGTGTGTGTGTGTGTGTGTGTGTGTGTGTGTGTGTGTGTGTGTTTTCAAATGAGAACAAGTATATTATAGAGGACTGTGAGGACAGATGTAGTGTGTGCCATTAGCCGGTATGTTGTGTGCATGGCCGAATGTAGTTGTGTGCCACAGTTTGTATGTCGCGTGCTAGATTTATTGATTTATAGAACCTGGGTTCGAAACCCGATGTTTACATTTATTTTTCTGTGCCATTATGTATTAAGTTGTGTGCTTGGTATTAAGTTGTTGTGTGCCCATTATTTGTCTTCATAGTCCTCTATATATTGTTGTCCTCATTTGAACTCAACCCTATATATATATATATATATATATATATATATATATATATATATATATATATATATGTGTGTGTGTGTGTGTGTGTGTGTGTGTGTGTGTGTGTGTGTGTGTGTGTGTGTGTGTGTGTGTGTGTGTGTGTGTTTTCAAATGAGAACAAGTATATTATAGAGGACTGTGAGGACAGATGTAGTGTGTGCCATTAGCCGGTATGTTGTGTGCATGGCCGAATGTAGTTGTGTGCCACAGTTTGTATGTCGCGTGCTAGATTTATTGATTTATAGAACCTGGGTTCGAAACCCGATGTTTACATTTATTTTTCTGTGCCATTATGTATTAAGTTGTGTGCTTGGTATTAAGTTGTTGTGTGCCCATTATTTGTCTTCATAGTCCTCTATATATTGTTGTCCTCATTTGAACTCAACCCTATATATATATATATATATATATATATATATATATATATATATATATATATATATATATTGGAAATGTATTAGGTCAATGGAATAATACAATCAATTGCATATTGAGACAGTTGAAGCTAGTAGAATTGTAAGATGAACCTCAATTCCACAAACAAATAAATATGAATAGTAAAAGACAACCTTTGCGATCTGAATGAGAGAATGCAGCTAGTAATGACCTATAATCAATAGAATCGTAGAATGAGACCAATACCAATCATTGAAAGTTGAAACCCAAAGTGCTACAAAATTCAGAAAAGATGTGGCATGAGGACATTGATTAATGAAGTACCAATCAAATGGATAAGTAGATGCTTAGCTTGAAGGTTGATCAATGGCAATGGTTGCAGGATCTTCTAATGTGGGAGCTGAATCTTTAGAATCCTTAGCCAAAGCGAGCATGTGAGGGGGCGGGTTATGCTTAAGCTTCACCAGTATTTGGCGCATCCTTGAAAGCTCAGTAGGTTTTCCTGGTTTCGGCCCTTGGATCACCGAAACAGATGGCTTCTTCTCTTCATCCTTCTTTCTCCCCTTCTGCTCGATATTGGGCACCTCGTTAGGAATCAGTTCAGCTATGGCCTTCCAATACTGTTTATCAGCTTCTTTATGGAACTTCTCTTGATTCCCCAGGTATGACTGCTCTCAAGACAATAGAACACGAAAAACATGTCTACTGATTAGTTAAGATCATGAGAAACAATACTTTGTAATAGCTTCTGCAACAAATTAAAAGCTGCTTCACCTTCTCCTTCTCCTTGTTATTTGTCTTATTAGTCTCAATATTGAGCTTTCTTTTCTCATAGAAAGATTCCTTATACTCTTCCCCTTCTTCAATAATCTGGTTTCTGGTTTCCTTTTCTTTCTTTTCCTTCTCTTCAAGCCGAATTGCATTTTGCCTGCACCAAAAGTTCCACATTCAAGTTCATCATTTCATGATTTTCATCAACAAACTGCAAGTCTGCAAACTGTGATGATTCCCCTACTTGAAAAGCTCAAGTCGGACCACAAATTAAAGTTTTGGATCTTTAAATCAAACTGCTTTGACCATTATTACTCTCAATTTTATACCAAGATCAAATGCTATAAACGTATACACTACTTAGTTGTAAGTATTGAGAATTGAGAAATCATCATGTACTGAATTGAAGGAACCGATTATAGAAACAATATAATAGATTCATGGTAAATATGTAATCTCGTTAAAGATGTGATATTATATGTGTTCCTCTGTAGATCTATTTATGTACTGGAACAAGAGATTAGTCTAGTAAAAAAAGTTTCCGATCAGTTCAAAAACTAAGAAATACTGACATTTTACTGAAGCTTGTAAGAAGAATCAGAATTTTGAGGCGACGGAATAGCTCTTTAGAGCTAAGAAAATGGAGATTCACCTTCGCCATTCACGCAGGGCAAAGCCCGCTTCATGCATTTCATTCGGAGGAGGAAGCACCGGGCCATCAGAGATGAATATTCCGGCGGAATCTTCTCCGAGATCATATGGATTTCCATTGCCGTTTGAAACCGGAACGGTAGAGGATCCGAAAGATGGGTGCGGATCCGACCCGAATCCATAGGGATTGGGGCTGTGGACGGATTGAGGAAAGTGCTCAACTGCCACTTCATCGTACTCTCCCGGAAATTCCCCCGCTGATTGGAACGGTGGCGCGTATCCGCCGTAACCGCTGTCATCAAACGGCGGATGAGCCGTTCTGACGTGCTCATCCATGGTAAATACATCGACTGAAGCCATTCTCTCTCTCTCTCTCTCTAATGTCTCTAAATACGTGTTTGTAATTCCCTGAGTATTTATATACGCTTTTGAACATGAATGACGAAGAAGACACTAAGCTTCCATTAAAATAATATTTTTTCTTCATGGGAAAGCAATCAAAGCATAGTGCTCATAGAATCATATTGCATCACATCCTCAAGTTGAATCATAATTAAGGAGCAAAGCGTGTTACGTATTCAATATGAATAGTTAGATCTCTATCACTTTTGCAGAAAATGTGAATTTTAAAAAATGATAAAAACACATTTTCAAGCTCTGTTTATCCAAATTATCCAGTTTTTATTATATATTCTTTATTGAATCATAATTTCATACTTTCAAAATAAATAATTTTTCCAGTCAATAAACACACCAATATGGAACACACAGAGCCTTTCATTTAGGTTTTCTTACTATCATAGAATACATGACAGTGGTGCCCAGAACTTATATGAAGCTAATTACAGGAGCATATTCATATTTAACAGAAGTTATTAAGTACTTAACATTGGATACAGTGGCCAATTTTTTTGAGTTTAGAAGATACAGACAGATCCAAGGCCAAACCTCTAAAATGGCTTCATGATTAACGGTGAGTATCAAGAAAGTTGAGGATCAGCTGATTCACTTCTTCAGGAAATTGCTCATGAAGAAAATGGCTTCCTTCAGGTATATACACTATCTCCACATTGGGCACCAAAGCTTTCAGCATCCCATTGGTTACGTGCTCTTCCATTCCTGGGAATTTCATCACATAATCCTTCTTGCCTGATATGAACAATGCAGGGGCTTTGATTCTTGCCTCAGCTGGCAGCTCAATATGTTCATCCCCAAGCGACCTACAACAAAGGAGAACAACATATATATATATGATTAGGGGCAACACCAGCCAAGTTGGTCAGATTGTTAATTTGATAACAAAAAAGTTACAAGTTTAACTGCCAGCTGGAGCGGCCTATTAGCCTTCATAAGCCGATCAACTATGGGCAAACTTGCCGGTTAGGGCTAATTAGCCATTGATGCTGCAACTCTTACAGCATTCATCACTTCCAGTCTTTTGTGCATTACCTGTATGGAACCTGCAATGCAGTCCGGAATCCAGATTTCTCATACAGAGCTCCATAGGCTGCCAGGTCTTCTTCAGTGAACCAAGGCGGTAGAGGAGTGGAAGGCTCCACAATGTCCATGATCTCCTGCTTTTCATTAGCAATTGGTATTTCACTTCTGGAGAAGAGGATGTAGATGTTCTTCACAACAGTTTTGGCATCGAGACGCCCAAAGTCAGCTTCAGCTCGTCCAGGCTCCTGAAAACAAATCTCAGAAACACAGTCAAGTACGTGCTTATAGATATGATCTTCAATTCTTCATTGCCAGCATGATTTAAAAAAAAAAAAAAACACAGCAGATCAGACATACCCTCCATCTTGCTATATAGAAACCTTCAGGCAGCTTTTCAGCAGATGTAAAAGGACTAGGAAGCATGAATGGCACATCCAATGTAACACACCCAACCACCCTCTCCTCATGGAGAAGGCAAAACATAGTCACAACAAAAGATCCAAAATCTGTCCCCACCACAAAAACCTACACACACATGTTATCATCATTTTGTTAGATTACAAATTCACATAATTAAGTTCTTCTAAGTCCCCTACTAACCTTCTTTTTTCTGCATAAATGTCACAGATAAACAGTAGCAGAATGGAAATAAATTGTTGGAGGAAGATAGGGATGAAATCAAATGGGTTAAAAAAGACTAGACCTTTGGGATGCTAAGAGTGTCCAGAAGTGCAGCGAGGTCATTGACAAGATGAAGGAAGGTGGTCTTGTCGGGTTGTGGTGGGTGATCCGACAAACCATATCCTCTGTAATCCAGCGAAATGGCTCTGTAACCGGCTTTGGCCACCGCAACCATCTGGTAGCGCCAGGAGTACCAAATCTCAGGGAAGCCATGTAAGAACAGCACAACTGGACCCGACCCACTTCCAGCCTCTGCTACGTGGATCTTTAGCCCGTTGACCACTATGGACTTGTGCTCTATTTGATCCATTTCTTGCCTGAAAGAGAGGGAGAGTTTTCAGTCTGTGGTGTGTCGTTTGTGAAGAGTGCAAGAATAATCTTACACAGTATCAGTATGAGTATCAGTATGGAAGATGCTGTTGTCGTTTTGTGTTGTCGCGTTTTGTGCGTCGCGAGCTGAAACACTAATTCTAAGCTTTCAAAACTCTTGTATAAGAGTAGATGTAGTTAAATCATGAGTGGCCCAATTCTTAATCAAAGATTAAGATTCGATCATTGGAACAGCCTTACATCTCGAGGACAGTTGTCTCATTCAAAAAATATGCCTACAATTTAGCGAGAGATTAATCTATGTTCGACGATGTGCCTATAATTCAGTAAGAGATTAGTCTGTGTCAGATGGTGAAAACCTCCTGAATACACCCAAAATAAAATGAGTTTCCAAACAGCCTCTCAATCAATTCCTTTGCCTGAGGTCGGACAATCTATCTCCACACTTTTTTCAACTTAGAGAGTTAATGGGTCCAAACTCTACTTTGGGGAGTCCTAATTCCAAAGATGTTGATGAGAGTCAACCATCACCCTGCTGCTGGAGTGTTGATTTTATTTCAGTTTTTACTCTCTTTAGACATGACATGTTATAATTAATTAGAAATTGTATTACAATTTTTATTATTTTCTTGGGATTTTTCCTGTAAATAAACATATTTAGTAATTTTCAACAAAAAAAAGCATTTTTTTTGAGAGGAAAAATAAATAAATAAATAATAATAATAATAATAATAACATATTTAGTATAATACAATTGAAGAAGAAGAAAAAAATAAAAAATAAAAAACTTCTTCAATTGATTTTGGAGGATGCCACCTCAAACTATTTATATCCCCAATGATAGTACAATAACTCACACTGCAGAACAAGAATAGAATCATGAATCTGGAAAACATAGAGCCTTTCATTTAGGTGTTTTTACCATACATGACAGTGCAGCCCACAACTTCAATGAAGCTAATTGCAGAAGTATGATAATTCATTAGAACTTTGAACCCAGTATTCAATTTATTTGAATTTAGAAGGTTTAGTCATCCATGGCCAAACCTCTAAAATGACTCTGTCACATCCCTTCATGATTAACCCCGGTGGGCATCAAGAAAGTTGAGGATCAGCTTATTCACCTCTTCAGGCAATTGCTCCTGAAGAAAATGGCTTCCTTCAGGTATATACACTATCTCCACATTAGGCACAAAAGCTTTCAGCATCCCACTGCTTATGTACTCTTCCATTCCTGGGAATTTCAGCACATAATCCTTCTCACCTGCAATGAACAATGCAGGGACTTTGATTCTTGGCTCAGCTGGTAGCTCAATATGTTCATCCCCAAGCGACCTACAACAAAGGAGAACAACAACGCTTCATTGATGCTCCTGCAACTGGGCTATAATGCACATAAGCCAAACTACACTAGAAAGACTGAATCTAATCAATTAGTTAGTCTAACTCATGACCAGGTTGAAACTCAATTTTCCAACTCCAAGAAAATGAATGATCATATGCTCACTAATAGTTTCCCTCTTTCGTGCAAGTATGTGTATGTGCCTCATTACCTGTAAGGAACCTTCAATGCAGTTCGGAATCCAGATTTCTCATACAGAGCTCCATAGGCTTCCAGGTCTTCTTCGGTGAACCAAGGGGGTAGGGGAGTGGAAGGCTCCACCATGTCCATGATCTCCTGCTTTTCATTAGCAATTGGTATCTCACTTCTGGAGAAAAGGATGTAGATGTTCTTCACAACAGTTTTGGCATCGAGACGACCAAAGTCAGCTTCAGCTCGCCCAGGCTCCTGAAAACAAATCTCAGAAGCTGCCAGAATGATAAAGAGAAAGAAACGGCATACATACCCTCCATCTTGAAATATAGAAACCTTCAGGCAGCTTTTCAGTATATGTAGAAGCACGAGCAATCATGAATGGCACATCCAATGTAACACACCCAGCTACCCTCTCCTCATGGAGAAGGCATAAAAAGGTCAGAACAGGCGACCCAAAATCTTTCCCAACCAGAAAAACCTGCATATGAGACAAGGTAAACAGCCACACAGGGATGATACAGATCTACTCAATTAAATTTCTTCACTCCTAACATTGCATCCCAAAATATACCAAGTTCATAAGTGCTAAGGATTCATTTTGTTCAGTCACCAACCATCACACACACACACACACACACACACACACACACACACATATATATATATATATATGTATATATATATGCCCAAGAGCTAATTACCTTTTCCTGCATAAATTTCAGAGATAAACACTAGCAGAATGGAAATAATTTTGTTGGAGGGAGATAGGGAAGAAATGGGTTAAAAAAGATCGGACCTTTGGGATACTAAGAGTATCCAGCAGAGCAGCAATGTCATTGACAATTTCAAGAAAGGTGGTCTTCTCAGGTTGGGGTGGTTGATCCGATAACCCATACCCTCTGTAATCGACGGCAATGGCTCTGTAACCGGCTTTGGCCACCGCCAGCATCTGGAAGCGCCAGGAGTACCAAATCTCAGGGAAGCCATGTAAGAACAGCACAACTGGACCCGACCCACTCCCAATCTCAGCTACGTGGATCTTTAGCCCGTTCACCTCTATGAACTTGTGCTCAATTTCATCCATTTCTTTCTTTCTTTCTTTCTATCTCTTGTCTGAAACAGGTCGATAGAGAGTTCAGAACGCGTTAGTGTGTGGTCTGTGAAGAGGCGGGCGACAAGTCTCATACTCAGTAGTAGCCAATAGGATTGTTGGTAGTGAAGATGATTTGTCGTGTTGTGCCGTTCGAACCGATCAATCAGAATTGATTCGTCTTAAAATCTGCTTTCAAGTTTCAATAAACAACAATGGTGGTTGGAGACTTATGTGTAGGCCGGTTTGGCCCACGTAATACAAGCTTCATTATATTAAAAGTGTCCAAAAAGTCTCTAATCATGGTTAAGAATACAAACATGTCACGTTAACATATGTAACAAGTAAAGCAACTGTAATATTATTATTTGGGCAAATACCAATTTTAGTTCCACGAGTATTAACAAAATGATACTTTTGGTCTACATGTTTAATTTTTACTTATTTTCATTCACGACTATTGTTTTAGTACCAATTTTCATCCACAACTATTGTTTTAGTGCCAAAATTCATCACACCAGTCACCCCTTCATTTAAGACATGCCAAAATATAAAACTATTAATGGTAGTTTCGTTGCTGCTAGATAGATCCCATGGCTAGGTGTATTTAGACCAGATGAGGCAGAGGCTTTGGGGGTGCGCGAAGCTTTGAAATGGATGAAAGAATGCAGTGAAGACTTCATTCAAGTGGAGACAGACTCTTTAAAGGTGGCTAATGCTGTTTATCATTCAGACCTTATGTCCTCTTTTGATACTATTATTAATGATATTAGGAAACTAGCTAGGGATTTTGCTAATCTCAGCTTTTTGTTTGTTAAACGGTCCGCGAACAAGGTCGCCCATTTCTTAACTAGGGATGCCTTGTCTAAGACTGACCGTGTGGACTGCTCTTTAGTCCCGTTTCCTTCTCTTGTTCCTGTTTTGAACTTTGATGCTTAATATATTTTGCTGTTTCTTTTCAAAAAAATTAATGGTAGTTTCGTGCTTTTCAAATTATAATCTCTATTTGAGCATAAATAAAAGGATTTAAACCCTACGATCTACCCTAATTAGGTTCCTCCTCAAATTAAGAGAGGATGAGTAGGATTTTGAACCTTGTATTTTAAGTATACAAGGTTCAAAATCCTTTTTAGTCAAAAACAATATACAAAGCTTTACTGTTCTTTTCTACAAGTTGTTTTCGAATGATCGTGTTAATATGTCGTCGATTGCTCAGATAGTAAAACCAACAATTTCTTTTTGTTTAAAAATAAACATAGAACTATCAGTCTAAGCTGAAGCTTCTCTATGCAGATTAGCCAAATCTAGTAGAGGTGGGCTTCAGATAGGAAATATTTTTTCTTCAAAGCTTTTATTGAATAGATCTTAGAACTTGGGCTCAGTGTTGAGTACTACAAACTCAGGTGACAACATATTCAAGCAATTCACATTGGTTTCGAATGCTGATGTTTTAAACAAGATTAAGCATGTCTCTTGAGGAAATTGATAATTAGTTGGTTGGTTTCTTCTGGAAACTGTTCTTCAGCAAAATGGGAACCTTCTGGCAAGTGTGCAGTCTCCATGTTGGGTACAATGTTTTTAGCCTGTCCACTCCTGACATAGTCTCCGATTCCTGGAAATTTGAGTGAGAAATCCTTCCCACACATGATGAACAATGCTGGAGCATCAACCTCTTGATTTGTTACTGGGAGTTTTTCGTTCAACGACCTGCAAACAACGAAAATCTGCAGATCTTAGTAATCAAGGATGAGCATAGAGAAGAGCATGCATTTCTGGGATTAACATGTGATTTCATCATGCAACCCCAAACAAGTTGGTCAGTAGAAGCAGCCTATTGGCCTTTTTATTTAAGTCGATCAGTTATGGGCAACCTATGTGTCTAGGGATCAACTATAGGCACCTATGTTGTTAAGTCACAAGGCATAGGCCTTCTTGGTTTAATCTGATCAACTATGAGCAACCTATGCTGTTAAGAATCAACTATGAGCAACCTATGTTGTTAGGGATTAGTTAGGGGCAACCTATGACCAAGTCCGTCAGTGGAAGCAGCCTATTGGCCTTTTTTATTTAAGTCGATCAGTTATGGGCAACCTATGCTTTTAGGATCAACTATAGGCAACCAATGTTGTTAGGGTCACAAGGCATAGGCCTTCTTGGTTTAATCTGATCAACTATGAGCAACCTATGTTGTTAGGGTTCACTGATGGGCAACCTATGTTATTAGGGCTCAGTTATGGGCGACCTATGTTGTTAGGGCTCAATTATGGGCAACCTATATTGATAGAGATCAGTTATGGGATACCTACATTGTTAGGGATCAGTTATGGGCAACTCAAGTTGTTAGGGATCAACTATGACCAACCTTTGTCGTTAAGGACCAGTTATGGACAACCTATGTAGTTTGGGATCACTATGATCAATTTATGCTGTTATGATCAGCTACTGCCAATCTATGCTATTAGGATAAACTAAGAACAACTTGTGCTATTAGGGATTAGCTATGGGCAACTTATACTGTTAGGGGCACAAAATAAGCAACTTTTGTTGTTAGAGGCTCAAGACGAAGTTTATCCAATGCACACAGTCGGTAGTAGCTGCAAGGAAAAGGCAAGTTAACTTGATACCTATAGGGAACCTGGGCTGCAGTGCGGAACCCAGATTTCTCATAGAGAGCAGTATAGTTTTGAAGATCTTCCTCTGTGAACCAAGAAGGTAAAGGGGCAGAGGAGTCCACCAAATCCAGGACCTCCTGGTCATCGGCAGCTGTAGGAATTTCAGTTTTAGAAAACAGAATGTATATCTTGCGCAGTACTGTCTTAACATCAAATCGAGCAAAATCGGCCTCTAGTCTTCCAGGTTCCTAAGTGAAAGTTGGAAATTAGGCATTAGCTAATACGAGAAAATGCATGAAGGGTGGATATTGTTTAGTTTACCATCCATCTGGATGTATAAACGCCTCCAGGAAGCGGCTCAGCCAGTCTCGGGCGGTTTAAAGGGACGACCGGAATGCCAAATGTGATTATCCCTGCGAGTCTCTTCGGGTGCAGAATGGCAAATAAATGCGCAATCCTGACGCTAAAATCTTTCGCCACAACATATACCTGTTCAGGATTCAGCAAAACCTAACGTTTCTGCAATTGCATGTCATTGAAGAAAACAACAATTGTTGATTAGGGCTGCGAAGGACTAATGTCATTTACCCTAGAAATGGAGAGGGCATCAAGGAGTGCAGGAAGGTCACTGAAGAGGTCGAAGAAGGTGGCCTTCTCGGGTTCGGGCGGTAGATCGGACAACCCGTATCCTCTGTAATCGGGGGCAATGGCCCTGAATCCGGCATTGGCGACGGCGACCATCTGGTAGCGCCAAGAGTACCATATCTCAGGGAAGCCGTGCAAGAACAACACCACTCGATCCGTCCCGCTTCCGATCTCCGCTACATGGATTTTTAGTCCATTAACTTGTATGAAATTATGCTTGATTTTATCCATTTTCTACACTTTCTTTGTCTCGAAACTGTCTACGCTTAATGAAAACGGAGATGATAAGTAGACAGAACCTTATAAACGATTGCGAAAGATTTTTTTGTTTGTAACTGACTCCTCGTAAATTTACAGGGCCTTCTAGTAATTTGAACCATGAATACTGTAAACGGACAGTTGAACGTTGTCTTAAAGAACTCAATCACATTTAATTCTTCTCAATAACATTTAATTGAGAATAAAAATTAATAGAATATAATGTCCTCCGAGTATAATAATTTTGTTACGTTTAGTCATAAGTTTTCAAATTGACTATCCATGATCCGATTTTCAAATTGATACTATTTGTGGTTCAAGTTTAGTGCATATGGTCCTTCAACTTTCAAAATGTAACCCATCATGGTCATCTGAGAAGGATCAACATGTTAAAATATAATAGTTGAAAGACAGTTAATTTGGATCACATATGATAAAATTTTGAAAGTCGAATGACCATGGATAATCAATTTGAAAGTTTAAAACTAAACGTGACAAGACCATATACTTAGAGAGTTAGAGGACCCCAAATGGTATTAGTTCTTTAATTGAGTGAAAATTGTAATTTATACCCCTCACAAATATGTCAATTACCAATGTTACTCCTGAATTATTAGTAGTGTAAATGTTGTTCATCAATTTTCAAAATGACGTATATTAACCCTCCCCTAATAGGAAGAAGGAGAAAACATTGTCGTCAGTGGAAGGAGAACAAACGAAGAAAGAAAAATGGAGGAAAAAATGCGGTCTTCAAACATGAAAAACATCTGTAACCATATTTACACCACTAATAATTCATATATGACATTGATAATTGACATATTTGTGAGGAGCATGAATTACAATTTTCCTTTTAATTGATTTCAAATGCATGTATTTTTATTTTTACTCTTTAAATTTTGCTTTGAAATATCGCAAACACTAATAAATTATTTTTTTAGTCACCCATTACAAGTGTCTACATTAATATTTTGAGCATGAGAACATAGATATCAGAATACATCTAGTATTTTTCTATTTAATTTGAACAATTTGTCCATTTATTTGATTAATTTTAGTGTAATTTCATTGTCTTAGGCTATCGCAAGACAGAAAACGTTTTTTTTTATTAGGTTTAAAGTGAGAGTGATTTATTTTAAACTATAATAAAGCTAGCCATATTTTGAAGTTTATTCAATTCCAAGGTGGAAACATGTAAGGACTCATGGTTTAAAAAGAAAGTGATGTTTGTGAGTTAATACTCTATTGATTTAACTCATCAGACATAGTATTTTTAGTATGATTTAATTTTTTTATGTAATTTATAAATTATTACTTATGAACAAAATTTATTCAGTGCATAATTTTATATAGTAGACGCGAATTTGTCCCTTTCATCCAAAAAAAAAAAAAAAATGATGTTAGCAAAATGATGCACTTTACATTTAATGGGACATTATGATGTAGGGAGAATGTGCAAAATGTAATGAATTAAGTAGTCATAAAAAAGTACGGAGTAATTAATTAATAAAATTTGATTAGACCTATGGGTGTGGCCCAATAGATAATAAAAGCGAGAGGTGGATTGGACCAATGAGAGGTCCAATTAGGTAAGGGAGAGTAGATTTATTTGTTCCCTAGAAAGAGAGCTAAGGGCGTGTTTGGTAGCGGTATAGAGCTAAGGGGTTAGGGAACAGACCTTTCCGCAAATTACTTGTGTTCATTTGTTAAAGTAAAAATCATTAACAAACAAAAATTATAGCTCGCTTAATAAAAGAGCGGAGCTTGAACAATTGTATGCTCGTTTGCTAAGAGATCGTGAACAAGCTCGTTTGTGTTTGTTTAATAATGTTCATGAACATGAACTTAGATTATTCACGAACGAATTGTGATCATGAACATGTGCAAGTGTTTGGTTATTAAAGGTTCACGAATGTGCTCATGAACGTAAACCAACATGTTCCTGAACGTGTTTGTTAACAAACATGTTTGTTAACGTTAACGTTAACGAACACGTTCGTGACCGTGTTTGCGAACGTTGACAAACACGTTCGCGAACGTTAACAAACACTAAAAAGTGTTTAACAAACGAACATAATGTACACTCAGTACAAATACAAATATAATATACATTCAGTACAAAAATAATGTACACATCGTATTCAGGGGATACATATTATTTTTGTACTGAATGTACATTATATTGTATAATGTACATTCAATACAAAAATAATATATATTTAGTATATTAAAAATATACTTTTTATTATGGTTCACATCATACTGTGTGGGCAATAATTTGCCGAAAAGTAGTTGGGCTTTTTGGGCCAGAGTTGTTTCTTTTGTTCACATAGTACACTTGTAGCCCATTTGTACTATATAAGGGTTTCGGTCCTGTCAATGGCAAATTATGTTGTGCATCCGTATGCACCATGCATGGTGCATACGGATGCAAAAACGACGTCGTTTTAATAAAACGCGTGTCTCCCTTTAAAAAAAAAAATCAGGTTCGATTCCCAGCAACAACATCTGAACTAAAATTCCATAATCGATGAATTATAATTCCATAATCGATAAACTATAATTCCATAATCGATGAACTATAATTCCATAATCTAATATATGAACTACAAATTTCAGAATGAATGAACTAAAATTTCATAATCTATAAACTAAAATTTCAGAATCGATGAACTACAATTCCATAATCGATGAACTATAATTCCATAATCAATGAACTATAATTCCATAATCTATGAACTAAAATTCCAGAATGAATGAATAATATAATGTTGTTGCTGGAAATCGAACCTGAATTTTTTTTAAAGGGAAGACGCGCGTTTTTTAATAAAACGACGTTGTTTTGGCATCCGTATGCACCATGCATGGTGCATGTATGCACCATGCATGGTGCATACGGATGCGCAGCATAACTATCCCCTGTCAATCTAGCATGCCTTATGTACTCCTTACCCAATATCACCCGATTTGATGGTATGTCCAATTCATTAAACCAACAAAATTAATGACGATTGTACTATTAATTTAAGGGAAACTAGGGAAGTGTTTAGTAAATAATTTTCTTTTCTATTTTCCAAAATAATCAAATAAATATTTCTCCAGTGAACATGTATGTAGGGGAAGGAGCAGCTAAGTAGTACTTTAAAAAAAAAATTGTATTTTATTTATTTTTATAAATAATTTAAAGTCAATGCATTTGGTTTATATTACCCACTACACATCTGGATAAGATATGTAAAAATACGACTCCTTTCGCCGTCATAGCTGCAGCCTGTAAGTGGTTGCAAAATGAATAATGAATAATATAATATAATAATACGGTCCATAGGGAGTAATAGGAGTTGAAAATAACTAATATTTTGGTAACACTTGCCCTATTATTTTTCTCATGCATTTTCTTAGATTGATTAAATACTGATATAGTGTGTTGTTATTAACTAATTTCGAATAGTTACTTTTGATTAAGTAGTCATTGACAACACACTACATCAACATGATACAATGTTAAGTAAAATTTTTAATTAATCAAATTCTATTTTATTCCTCTTGAATCAAAACTCATTTTATTCCAAATTAGAAGTCAAACTTAGCATGTATAAGTTATTAATTTGAAGGATAAAGATAGCAAAACCTAGCTTGCAATTTGCAAAGGATACACAAATAATTTGGATATGAGTTTAGTTAAATTAATACTCCGTAACAATTGTTTATGTCATTAAAAAGTCTTATATCTACAAACTCTAGACAAAAAAAATTCTTATAAATCTTTTACAGCCTAATAAAGATTCTTTATACAACAATAAATAATATTTAAATTTCAACAGTAGATTGGGTGGAATTCTAATATCATTTATATGTAGTTTCTAAAGTAAACTTGCGTTTTAATTTAGAGGGATAAATATTTATGATAAGATTAACTTGGTTTCGTTTGTCAAATATGACAAATTAAAATATGGTTGTTATCTATGAAATATGACAAGATTAATTTGGGTTTATTTGTAAAGTTTGAAAAAATTTTAAAATACAATCCTATTACAATGTTAGCTCGTGCAGCGTAGATGAAGTAAATATTTGAGCATTCTTAAAATCTTCAATTGGGGCATGGGAAAAGAGGGTTCAAAGACTCAAAATGAAATTGATTCAAGTGGGTTGTGGCATGAATGAATGGCGGGAGAAACCGAGAGGAATAGTCGGTTTAGTTATCATTTTTGTACGTAGAGGTGTATAAACATTGGGATATTAGCATTGTGTATATACTATATATATAGGAACATAATAGGATTATTGATTTATTGACAACAGGATCTATCCATGAACATCGTTGTCTAAGGGTGTTGGAAACCCTTCCCATCCAACTGTAGAGCATTCTACATTATGATCAAATGAGTATCTCATGCCATAGACATAACATAGATCCAGGTACTTATAACTAAAATGTTATTTTCGAATAATACCTTATTTATAAATTTAAAATTTACTTTTGACAAACAAGTATGTAGTAATTTTTTTTTGGTTGTCCAAAGGTATCCCTCCACCCGATAGCCAGAAGACTAAACTTTCGTCCCAACGGTCAGCAAATTAAGTGGAATACACTAACAAGTATATAGTAATATTTTAAACTATTCAATGTCAAGAAAAATTATACTTTAAAATAAAAGTTACATTTAGAAAAACGAGTTAATACCCAAAATCGTCCTCGACTATAGTGGTTTTTCTCAATTTTGTCCTAAATGACTTTGGTGACCTAATATCGTCCCAGACATTTGTGTTTCGCTCAATTTAGTCCCAGACTTTTGTGTTTTTGCTCAATTTAGTCCCTAATTTGTTATTCTGTCCATTTGGTGTTAAATAAATAGACAATTCAGTCATTTTAATATTGGCATCTCTTTACTCATAGACATGTGAACTGCGAAATCCCATTTTTTTTACGAATTACTCCTAGAATTACTCCTAAAACTGCGAATATAAAATTTGATTTGCAGGTCCGGGGGTAATTATGGGTGTAATTCGTACAAGAAAGAGGAATTTCGCACTTCACAAGTTGAAAGTAAAGAGAGATC